CATCATCATCATCATCAACAACAACATCATCATCAACAACAACATCATCATCATCATCAACAACATCATCATCATCATCAACAACAACATCATCATCAACAACAACAACATCATCATCATCATCAACAACAACATCATCATCAACAACAACATCATCATCAACAACAACATCATCATCATCATCAACAACAACATCATCATCAATAACAACATCATCATCAACAACAACATCATCATCATCACCAAAACTTCGAGAACCATCCAATCGTTATGTATGAATGTAACTACCCATCTTTACGTATTGATATTATTTACATCGCGTTTTGTTCACAACCGTACAAACATACATATATACAAACACACACACACACACATACATACGTGTGTATACATACGTATGTATGTGTGTGTGCGTGTAAATACAATACATACATACAAAGGCTACAAAAAAATATTCACTATAAAAAAACATACGTTATAAACCTCTATTGCTGCATATGTATATAATAAATCAATTTGTATATATATATATATATATATATATATACAAACGCGTTTGTAGATTAATTTTTATATGAAATGTGTATATATATTGTATGTGAACATATACATGTATATAATAAATAAATATATATATATATATATATTTATATATATATATATATATATATGTATGTATATATATGTGTATGTATGTATTCGTCATGTTTAGTTAATTTAGAGTTCTTATAAACATCAGTTAAGAAAAACGTCGTTGTCAATATGACAGTTATCGTTATTATTATAATTATTATTATTATTATTATTGTTATTATTATTGTTTCTAAAAATAGATTTATGAGCGCATCATACATACGTAATTAATGAGGCCGCGTGCCTGTGTCGTCATCGTTCGTTCGTTTGTTCGTTCGTTCGTCCGTTCGTTCATTCTTTCGTTCGTTCATTCAGGCTCATGTTTGGAGTCAATCATCTCTATTTATAAATATAATAATAATAATGGTAATGATAATAATAATAATATTAAAATCATAATAACTCTGATGATGATTATATAATATATCATACAATACTGCTTCTTTAGGCCATATATAAATGGATATTTTTTTAAATAAAATCTGTCGCTTTCTGTCTCTCTCTCTCTCTTTCTCTTTCTCTCGTTTTCTTTCTCACTATCTTTCTCCTATATATATATATATATATACATTTGTATATATATATATATATACACGTACATATGTATATATGATATAATATGTAAACAATAATGCGATAATCATACTTGATAATATTTAATAGTACCTCTTAATACCTATTAATGCCAAATAATTATGAATAATTATAAATTATTATGAATAATTATGAATACCTTATAATACTTTATAATATCAAATAATTATGAATAATTATAAATTATTATGAATTATTATGAATATTAATATAAATGCCCTCATGTTGTACATTGATGTTACTTATTAACTTTCTTGCCTATTTAACTCAGTTTCTTCTGT